AGCCCCCCAGCTTTCCTGGTTACCGAGTTGAAAGTGGGTGACAAAATGCACTCGCTTTCCGAACACTCACACACACACAGACAGCCTCTCGACAATATGCGTTTTTGCTGGCTGTAGCAACGCTATAGCCAGCAAAAACGCATATTGTCGAGAGGCTGTCTGTGTGTGTGAGTGCTGTAGCAACTTTATGCGTTTTTGCTGTGCAGCGCTATAGCGTTGCTATAGCGCTGCACAGCAAAAACGCATAACAGCGAACATGTAGCCTTCTGCACGCCAGATTTTTTAGTCGTACTGTCATAAATGCCTATCGGCTTGAAAACCTTCATAGATGAGTATGCAGCTGGCACCAAACAAGCAAGATACTTGATTCTAGGCTCCTGTGCAATTGGTGTTTTTTGCCCATTCAGCATCTCCCGATGGAAGCAAGTCACGAAACACGGATATAAAATAAGTTCTTAAAAAACAGAAGCCTCTCTCTTTTGCTTCTCTTTAATCGGCTCAGTCACATTGTTTTATCACTTCTGGTGCTGGAGTTCGTCGTCAGTTCGTGTTCAAGTACCTTCAGTTTGAACTAATCTGGTAACTTTAAGCCCTCAATCTGTATTCCCACTTGTTTCCCGATCTGTGCACGGTGATAAGGTCGAAGTATGTTACTGAACCAGTTTGCCAGTCTATCTTGCTACTCTCGATCCTTATGCTTGCTGCTTTCATGAGTTGGCCATGCCATTCTTGCATCCAGTATCGGAATTTCTTTTTTAGAAAATTGTTTGTACTATTGCTTGGTTTTGCAGGAAGGAGGCTGCTTCAGGCTTTTTCCGGATACATCAGATGTCCCACTAGACATCGAACCGCGTGGCGATCGACTGTTGTTTTTATGGTCGGACCGTCGAAATCCTCATGAGGTTCGACCAGTGTTTAGAGATCGGTGAGTTTTTCAGTATTTTAGGTGTCAATTTACACAAAAGCACCTTCAACCCACATACGAGCAAAGAAACCACAGATAATTCGTATCGTTATCGAAGAGTATCTTGCATGTGCGCTGCCAGGGGACTCGTGGATTCGAGAATGGCGGTACTCGCAATTTCTCTCTGTTGTTTTTAAACCATAAAGCCATTGTTTACAAAGAAAGAGTGTGGTTATCTGAGCTTAGTTACCGCGTGTGTCAGTAGATCGAACTACCCCTGAAAGGTGTCGGGTCAGACTAAGGTAGGACCGATTTTATTACACAAGATACCAGTTGCAGGCGCACGAGCGTAGGGTTAAGTAGATCACAGGCAAAACGAAGTAGATCACGGAAGAAACGAAGTAGAGCACAGATGAAGCGTGTCAGTTGGCACTGTCGTAAGCAGGTGAACGCGTACCTCGAACATCGGATCCGCGAGCTTATATACCGTTCTACCTGCAAGTAATGTCATGAGTCACAATCAACAACGGGGATTGAGAATGTTCCGCATGGGAATGAAAGACGGGATTTGACATCGTAGATCTCATCTACGGTGGGAAAAGCGGCGGGAAGATAGGCAGTCTGGGAACGAGGGAATCGGACTCCTGTCGGAGATCCGATCTCCACTAGGAACGTCGATTCCCGACGCCCCGGTGGAATGTCATCGAAAGATGACACATCCCTTTCTTTATTTTATTTTTTTAGAGTTTCATCATTTGGAATGGGGGGTAGGTTAGCGAGGCGAGGAATTCGCCCTTACAATAAAACAGTAGAAGTATTCTTCGTGTGCATTTTTCAAATTCTATATTCAATTCTTATCCGTAGGATTCAATGTAAAATCGCGCTTGTAACTGGTAATTTCTCTTTTATCAATCAGTTCACCGCTTACACAAATGGTTTGCTCAGTGATTATCCACAGTATCCTACTATACTGCCGTTTATCCATTGTACTGGCTTGCTCGAAACAATTTTATCTGCCGGTTATTTACCACTTGGCTGTAAAATTCGAATATTTACATCGAACTGCGGGATGTAACTCATGCAGTCTAAATTTTCAGGTATGCTGTAACGGTTTGGTATTTTGACACGGACGAAAAATTAGCTGCATTAGCAAGGAGACGTAAGCAAGACGAGTTTGAAGAAACAAAAAAACACATGCAGCATCTACGATCTGTTCTCTTCGACAATGAAGAGACTTCGCAGTTGCAACTGCCGCCTTTCAAAGACTGTGAGAAAGTAGGTTTTAAGTCACCTTCTGTGGGCTTGCTGTTTTGCTAACTGGCTGCCAGTTAACTTGTTGCTAACTTCCGTTTCTAAGATATTCTGTCGCGAAAAGTCGGAAAGATTGTCAAAGTCCTTTCGTCCAGTCGTAGTCTTTTTTTGCAAAATTCATAACTTGACAATTTTATTTTCATGGGTTTTTGCATATTTATGCAAGTGCGAAAATGCATATTGTGATTACTCATTGTATGTGTATATGTGTTTGTGTATGTCTGTGTCTGCATCAGTCCGGGTATTCCAGCTGGCAACCAGGCAAGCATTGACGTTTTAATTTTACTAGTGGATTTCCGACCAATTGCTATTCTAGGAACATGGTACCAGCTTCCACGCACATCTGAGCCGCACATATTAGCTTGCAAAGGTTTTGGCAGGAAAAGCTTTTTTTCTAAAAGTGGGAAAGCTGGAACTGTAAGGGAATGCTCCCTGTTCACGTGCAAATTAAAGATTTCAAATTCAGCTCCTAAGTGCGCATGGATTTCACGTACGGATATGTGGAAACTATGGGGGAAGTGGGAGGAGGAGGGGAGAGGGGTAGGGGAAAGAGAGGAATTGCTGACTTGCGGACCCGAATAGCTAGGTCATTTTCGATGAAAGACCGGTCGCCGGAAACTATTCATTTTTCATGGAAAATTTACGGCAGTTTACGGCAATGAATTCATAAATTGAATGAAAGCTACAACCTTTCGTACAGTTAGACTTGATTGCTTCAAGTATAGCTCAAAAAAGCATGACTGGCAAGCCATGTGCGCCACACCTAGGTTTCTTTTAATGTTCGGGCACTTACGAAGCTTTTTTGTTTGAGGGAATGAGAACTGTGCTCAAGGTCGTTGCTAAAATTTTGTTTTAGCTGGAATCGAACGAATTGTCATCGCTTGACAATATCCCAGTTCAATCGGACATTTTCCATCCTGCAGTATCTCTCCTGCAGAACAATCGTTACGAACCGGTTTTGAAGCAAAACAGGCCAGTTAATGTGGAGACGGTAAGTTGTTGCTGTTTCAAATCAGTGAGCTTGCCTCGGTCACTTATTAAGCTACGTTGGTCACTTATTCGGTAACTCGGTTACTTATTAAGCTACGTCTGTCATGTGACGAATTCCTATCGTGCCTCAATTCTCCGTTGGTGCTGCTGGTGTTTCTAATGAAAAAGAGGCTAATTTGATGTTGTTACATGTTTTTTTATTTTCGTTGGTCAGTCTCAGAATTCATTTTCTTATTATTCCCTAAGAAAAATGGATTAGCAACAGCAGTGACATGTTCAGGAAAAGGCGGTAAAAAATTTGGGTTTGAGTGGAAATTCAAGCGGAAAAGAGCTAAACAACACCGATTTGGTTAGGACATAATGGGCTGTCAGAATGAGGTATCATTTTGTCGAAAATTTTACGAGCTCAAATGCCTCCTTGTTCTGTACTTTTGATGTGTGCCAGATTAAACATCCAGAGTTTTCTGCCCTTTTGTCGAAAATCGTTCACGAAAAAAAAGCTTGGAATGGTCCGAGTCCATTATATGCCCAGACACGCTAGCGCTAGTTATACCAGTGTATCTGTCACTTTTTGCACCACGACGACTCTAAACAAAAGGCAAGAGTGTGACAGCGTAACTATGTATTGGAACCCTTTTAGCGCTGATTCAATCAAGCAATAAAAACTCAGGCTGGAACGCACCAGGCTCTTCGGCGTGATTATGCGTTTTTGCACTAAATTCGCAGATCGCTATTAGCAAGAATGTTCCCTACGCTGTAGCCTAACATTTAGGTCATACTGGACTTGCATTGATACTTTCCGGTTTGCAGGAGGAAGGGCGTCAGTTGGGATGAAGGTGGTGCATTACAGAGCCGCACTGACATCCAGGTGCATGATTACCGGTTTTTTGCATGAAGTCCGGTCGTTTTTGTTCGTTTTGCCGTGCAGCGCTAGAGCCTGCAACAGACAGCAAAAAACGCATATTGCAACGACCCTGTCAGTGTGTGTGTGTGTGTGTGTTTGTGTGTGTGTGTGTTTGTGTGTGTGTGTGTGTTCGTCTGTCCGGGCGTTTCGACTCGCCAACCACGCAAGCTTTGAAGCTGAAATTTTGCCAGTGTGTTCCCCAGCTAAGTACCACCTCAAAGCCGCAGTATCAACTCTTATGCACATCTGGACCCCGGGCACGAGCATGTGAAAGTATTGGCGCGAAAATTGCTAACTCGGGAACGGGGAAGCCTAGAAAGCTGAAACCTTGGGGGAATGTTCTCTTCCCCTCCGTGACAAAAAGGTTCCAAATTCAGCTGCCCAGGAGTACCCGGAGCATACGTGCGGCCACGTGAAAATTATGGCGGGGAAATTCATAACTCGAGAACGAGAAAAGCTAGAAAGTTGAAAATTTGGGAATATACCAGAAGTTTGGGAAAATACTCATGCACGACCAGAAGTTTTCAAACTCAGCTTCTTAGGACCACCCGGGGCTTAGGGGCTCACATACGAGCAAATTTTTGGCGCGAAAAATACTAACTCGGGAACGGGAAAGCTAGAAAGCTGTAACTTTCGTGGAATGTTTCCTATTCATTTACGAGCAAAATCCGGTGTTTAGAAGCGCCCGAGCACACGTACGAGCGCGTGGAAATTCTGGCGCGGCAACTACTAACCCGGGAACGGGGAAAACTAGAAAGTTGAAACTTTAAGGGAATGTTCCCTACTCGTGTACGAGTAAAATCAGTTGGTTAAAAGTACCCGAGCCTACATAGAGCGCGTGAAAATTTTGGCGCGAAAATTACTGACCCGAGAATGGGAAAAGCTAGGAAGTCGAAACTGTAAGGGAATGTTCTTTACTCATGTACGTCCAAAATCAGGTGTTTTAAAGCGTCCGAGCCCATATACGAGCGCGTGGAAATTTTAGCCCGAAAATTACTAGCCCGAGAACGAGAAAAGCTAGAAAGCTGAGACTCTGAGCGAATGTCCCCTACTCATTTGCGAGCAAAGTCAGGTGTTTAGATGCGCCCGAGCCCCGTACGAGGGCGTGGAAATTTTGGCGCGAAAATTACTAGCGCGAGAACGAGAGAAGCTAGAAAGTTAAAACTTTAAGGGAATGTTCCCTACTCATGTATGACCAAAAGATTTTAAATTTGCTCCTTAAAACCGTCTGGTACTCACGTACGGATAAATGAAAATTTTGATGGGAAACCTGCTAACTCGGGAGTGGGAAAAGCTGAAGGCTTTACTTTAAGGGAATTTTCCCTACTCATGTGCAACTAAAAGATTTCAAATTTAACTCTTCTAGTATGGCCTTTTTAGCGGACCAGCAACTTTCCATTTGTCGGGTCACTGAAGTCGACGTCAACAACTGATATACCACATAGTTGCGTAATTAACTTCCCGAACTTCGAGGGCCAGTATGCCACGGGGTTAGCTGCTGTGATTCCTTGCGATCTTGCTACGGCACGAAAAGTGCAAAAACGCATAATCGCACCGGCTCGCCTGGTGCGTTCCAGCTTGGGTTTCGGTAAATGCTCGCTTTGTGAAAAAATGACAAATGCAAATTTTTTGAAAAAATCCAAATTTCCAGTTCAATAAAAATTGGAAGTACTGCTCCAACGGTCGCTTGTCAAAAAATCCATGTTCATATGCATATACAATTGCGGTTCAGGTCCGAGTTACTAGCGATTTTTGGGTTGAGAAGCTGCTTGAGGCTGTGGTTGGGGAGCTAGAGAGCTGAATTTAAAATTATCTCCCACGTGCACAGAGAATATCCCTGCAGAGTTCCAGCTTTCTACATTGCCTGGTTCGCAAAATCGTTTACCGCCAGCATATTTCTTTAGGGGTTACGTACACAGGATTTAGGCGCGTATGGGAAAGATCTTAAAACGGGAGGATGACACACGGGGTAGGAACATATATCCAGAGTTTCAGCCTCTCAGCTTTCCTGG